TGTTTAGTATAGCAAAAGGAAGGCTGAAAGGGAATATGACTACCGGCTATAAATATATCGGGGGTAAACACCAGGGAGGGAGAAGAGCTGTTTAAGCCAAAGAACAAATACTAGTACACAAACAAAAGGGTTCTTGAAAAAATGTAGTCTAGAAATGAGAAGAAGGTTTCTAACCACCAGAACAGTGAAGTTCTGGAACAGATTTGCAACAGGAGTAGGGAGTAAACATATCAAACTACCATTAAGATGGAGCTTGAAAAGTTTCTAGAAGGGATTATATGACATAGTTTCCTGTAATAGCAAGGAACTGGACGCTGACCTAGGAAGTCTCTTCCAATCTTAAGGTCCTCTATTCCGTTTTGCACTGTCATTTCTTCTCCATAAAGACAGGAAATTTATACCACTAAATCCCTCAAATGTTTAAAAAATAATAATAAATTCTATACAAGTAAAAATAATTGTGATTATTGTAAAACTCACTAAAAGTGATTTAAGAATAACACTTTATTGGATAAGTATTATAATCTTAGACTTTACTGTATTAGAACGTCTTCTAAGGAGAGGTTGCCTGGTGTAGAGCACTACTTGTTCTTACTTTTTCAAAATCGAAATATGGAATGTGGCATAAAGGTCATTTCAAGGCATATTATACTATGCAATGAACAGTAATCTTATACTACCCATTGTACAGTGTATATAGTCTCATTATTTCAGCCTTGGAAAGATCACTTTTGGTTAAATAAGATAGCTGCAAATTAAACAGCTGCATGCAATTTATTTTTAGATACATATTGATTTGTTTATAAATATTATGAAAAGTAGATGTAGCTCAAAAACCATAATGAAAACCACAGGTAATGTTTTGCAGAAAGCAATTTTTTTCAATTCTGTATAGTATGGGGTCTGTTACGTACTATACAAACATATACGCGCGTATGGTCCCTTTTCCTTGAGAGCTCTAGTTTAAAGAACAGCTGAAATGCCTAATGAAATTCAACAATGAGAAAACCAAGAGAGGGAATATTATAGAATAAAACAAACTGATGAGGGTGTTACTGACCACAGGTGTTTAAAATCCTAAGGTTCTATTTTCATGTTTTTTCCTTCCACTACTATTTCTTGAAGTTGTGTTGGGAAACCAAGTAGCAGACCAGAAGTCCATTATGCCATGTCCATACAAATATGACAAAGAGACAGTCGTACATGTTCCACAGACAAATAAACTTTTTCCATATCTTCCTTCTCCCTAACGGAGAACAAAAATGTCAAGGAGGATCGAGGCTACATTGAGGCAGACAAATGAGGTAAAGGATAGCAAAAGAAAGAGAAACGTTGGCAGAAATTGAAGAGGAAAACATAGGGAAAAGAAAGAGGATAAATAAAACTGTATAAGGCAGAGAGAAAAAGGATTGTGGAGAAGGACAGGACAGAAGTCAGCAATGACATAATAGACAGAAATTTGGGGGTCATATATTTTACAAAGGATTAGACTCTCTTTTCACTTCCACATGTGGTAGAAACAGACATTTTGATAAACATATGTTTTATTCGCATGCCAAACATAAATTTTTCCAAGCCAGCCTTCAAATCAGTTGTAATAAATGGTGTTTTTTTAAAGAGTGTCATGAAGCACTACTTTCCAAATGTCACATATATAAAGTACTGAAAGACATCTTGTTCAAGAATTTCCTCCTCATTCTTCAGAAGTCACAGCTCTAGACACTGCAAAAGATTCTACTTTCAGTTATACTGACAGAAACCTAACCAGTGTTCAGGCTGAGAAAAAGAGTTCTTCAGTAAATGGAATATGCTTACTTCTAAGTCTGGAACAAATTCCACTACTCTTTGTCACAGATAAATATCGATGATAGCAGGAGGTATCTTTAAGTTATGAACATTCCAATCCTACAATTTACTATGCGTCATTCTAAGGCTGGTTTGGTGGTGTCCTCAAGATCCTTGCTAAAACATAAATTCTCTAAAATTTATCAAATATCAAATTACTCCTTCTCTTTTCAAATTCTGTTGACTGCTTTTGGACACAATTTTACTCCATAACACATAGAAAGGTGTCACTCTTCATGTACATCTTTGATCATTCTGTTGGTTCAGCTTTATTGAATTTATCTACTGCCAGGCAGTAAGTTAGAACTCGCATAGTGAAGTTGCTGACATCAGGCCTGTCTATGAAAGTAGTGGTGTGGAGATTATAAATACATCAGTTTCAGGCCTGTGGAGTTCATGAAGAGGATTTCACTACTTCATGTTTAGGCTAATGTTAGCTCTTTCAAACCATGAAACAGAATTATCGATCGATTTGGATCATTTAAAAAAAAAATCAAATTTTACAGATGAAGAAGAACTTACTATTTCCCTCACTTTCTACTGCTGACAGTTGAAAAGTTAATTGAAAAATATGTGGTGTAATCCATTATTTTTGTCTGTGCTTGAATATATGAATTCAAGAATAGGGTTATGCGTCTATAGACGGACTAGAGTTAACTAGGATTACAGCATTTCATATAAAACTACATTTCAGTATAGTTCCAACATTGCAAGGTAAGCATTAACACATCTGTTCAAACTATACGTTCTAAAATGTGAATGAAAAAGAGTCTACGTTGCTATTTAACAGTCCTGCGTAGCAGTTAGGTAATGTCTATTGCTAGGGCAGTGGTAAAAGCAAGGTGCTCCGTGGTTTTTGGTTTTTTTTTGAATGACTAAGTAAGAATTATAGGTTTCACCAACATGCTCTAATTCAGACAAGCAGTCATTTTCTACAATCCACTTCTGTTAATCAAAGCTCTCAAAACCAGCTGCTTAAGTCTTCTTGAATTTTCTGCTGAACTTCACCGGAACTTAAATGTTTACCTATAAGCACTATTCAAGAACAAAGATATTTTCCTGAGACATGTTAACTGGAAAGGTAGAAAAATATGTAGAATGTGGAGGATGACCTAAAATCGCCTTGACGTTTATCAACCTGGAAGACATTCAAGCTAATAAAGGAAATGGTCAAGAACCAGCTGACCTGATAGAATATATAATATTTAATGTTGTAATTTGCACAGTTGTCTGCTTACCATCAATTTAATTAGCAGGACACTGTTATATTGTAGAACAAAACTTATAAATCTCTAGGGCAAATTGGAAGAGACCTTCAAAATGGGTTAGGATTACTTTCATTAACATTTTCTTCCTTTGTAAGCGTTGTGGTAGAGCTGTTCCACCACCACCTCGCTGCTTTCTCTCAGGCATGAGCAACGGCCGCACGAGCACTGCTCCATACGCTGCCACAGCCACGAGGTAACTCTGTCCCCCCAACACCGCTAAGCTTCCTCACGCAGCGAGGAGGGTGTGAAAAAAATCATAAAGTCCCATCAACAACATCCAGTAATAGCATGTGGCAGAAGTGTTTGTCTTGAGCTGTTGACTGAAGTCTGTGTCTCAGGGTGGGGCTGTGAGGAAGCAATGAGATGTATTGTTGTGACAATAGAAGATACAAAATTTCTGGTGTCTCCCACACATGAAAACTGCCAACCAAACTCATCAAGGGTGGTAGAGGAAGAAGCCAGCCCTTCAGTGAGTTCTGCTCCGACTCAGAGCAATGCCCCTCCGCAGATTACCCCGGCTGATCCCACGGGGGTGGCCAGCACTGTGTGGGAGGCTCCCAGCAGCGGCATGGAAATGGCGCCAGCGGCTTGGACCCTGCTCCTTACACATGCAAAAGGCGCTCTCCAGGGGACACCGCACCGCGTGGTTGACATGAATTGGTACCGGCTAGAGAAGACAGGGCGGTACTTGCTCTCTCTTTCTCCCTCTTCTGGGCAGAGGAGGGTGAATAAATGGGGCAGAGCGGCGTTAGCTAGCAAGAGGGCAGGCTGAGCTTCCTAGGTCCTCGAGGAAGCAGGCGTGAGTGCCATGGCCAGAGCGAGGGGACGCAGCCGCGCAAGGCGAGTGCGCATCCTCCATTTTGGTGGAGGGCGGGCGCAGAGCTTGGCTCCCGGCGCCTCGCTCCCCTCGCCGCTCGGAGCACTCCTCCCCAGCCCGCGGCACTGCCAGGGGCGCCCTGCTCCTCTTCCCGCAGGGAGCGGGGCAGAGGCGCCTCAAATGGACGCCCTGCTGCGCCTCACGTTGGTTTGAATTGGTCCCAAGCTCCCCGCAGCGGCTTCCGACAAAATGGAGGACGTCACCACTGCTACCACCACCACCACCAGCAGCTCCTCCAGGAGCCATGTCGGCGGCTGACATGGCTCCCTTCCCCCACAGTGGGTGGGGGCAGGAGGGCGTCCAGAGCGAGGGCGGCGAGGAGGCTCTCCTCAGAGGGGCAGGCTGTAGGTGTGTGGGGGAAGCTCTCTCCCTGGGATACGTGCGCTCTCTCGCTTTCCTGTGTGGGAGTGCTGCCATTATTCACACTCTGTCCCTCATGGAAATGGCCCCAGGTTCACAGCCCTGCTGGGGGAGGAGTGGGGCGGGACCTTCAGAGAGCTATGGATGGGTCCTCCCAGCCCTACTTCTCGGCGATGGGGCGGCGGGGGGAGGCAAGAGGGAGAGATCAGCCCATGCCCCACGGCTGGGGCTGTTGTGTCCATAGGGACTAAGCGCAAGGCTGGGATGGGTAGTACAATCTCCTCCCCGGCAGATGGCTGGAGGAGCATAGCTAGGCTAGCACGGCAGCAGTGCAAACTTCTGCAAGCTGCTGCTGTCAAGCAGCTGTACTGGGCGCCCGAGCGCAGCCTCGCAGCCCTTAGACCCGGCTACAGAGCTGGTGGGCAACGATTCGGGTTTCTCAAACCTGATGGATCAAAGTGGTAAGAACTCCAGGCATGGCTAGGAGGAAGATTGACAGTTTATAGGGTCAACCGGCTGCGGGCAGCTCCGATGGATGGGCAGCCCACCCAATGAGCTAGCCGAGCGCGAAAGCCCGCCCTCTGGAGGAGCCAATGGGGGGGCAGGGAGGGGGATCTTCCCCAAGCTCGGTTGGCCCTGTTCCTCCTCCCCCTTCGCTAGCAGCTGCGCTTAGCCTGGGACTGGACCGAGTTAGAGTTGAGGCACCGGAGGAGTAACGCGGAGTCCGTGCGTCCCCCGCGGGGGGGGGTTCCGTGCCGGAGAGCGGCGGGGAGCCGGGTAAGGT